AACTATGCAGACAAAGAGGCAATCTCAACAGCTACATGTCAGGGGAAAGAAAGATTATACAGTTTAAGTCCATGGAAGTTACTTAACCAACAACAACAAAATCCCCAGAAAAATCAATCAGAATTCAGAGTTACCACAACATATTATCAAAAATTTCCATTTTTAAGAAAAACAATTAATCATGAAAGAATCAAGAAAGTGTGACCCATACCCAGGATAAAAATTAATAGAAATTGATTCTGAGTAGACCCAGATAGTGTATTTAGCAATAAACAATTAAAGAAACATGACATCTGTGACTTAACAACTAGGAATTTGATATAGAATAAACCACAAAATTGAAAATGAAAAGAACAAATGGAAATTCTAGAATTGAAAACTAATAATAATATGAAAAATCACTTGCTATGTTCAACAGCAGGTTTGAGATAAGAGGAGAAACATCAAATTGAAAGATAGATCAATAGAATATTTTAGCTGAAAAACATACACACAAATGTTTAAAATAAACATAGCCTCAGAGATATGGGGACAATGTAAAGCATCCTAACATATGTGAAATGAGTGTCCCAGAAGTAAAAAGAAAAAGGAAGAGACACATATATTTGAAGAAATAATAGCTAAATAATCCTAATGTGATGAAAACTCTCTGCAAATCTTTTGAAACTCCACAAAACCAAAATAACACAACAGAATCCATACCTAGATGCATCATAATCAAACCACAGAAATACAAAGACAAAGAGAAAATCTTGAAAACATTAAGAGAAAATTGACTCCATGCACAGGAAACAATAATATGATTAATGGCTGACTTATCACTATAAACAATGGGGCCAGAAGGCAGTAGAATGACATAGTCAAGTGCTAATTTTTTACTGTCAACCAAACTTCTGTACTCATCAAATATCCTCGAAAAAAAATAAAAAATAAACATTCCCGGTAAATAAAAACTGACATCTAGCACATCTGACCTACCAGAGTATAAATGAAGCATTTCAGCGTTAATAAAAATATTTTCAGAACAAACTAAAATTCATAGGAGAAATGAGAAGCACTGGAAGTGTAAAATGTAGGTAAACTAAAAGACTACTTTTTCTATTAATTTCCTTTTAAAAATAGACATTTTAAATAATTATTGTAAAACTTATTTGTTGAGTATGTTATATGTGTATATGGTGTGTATATATATATATTCTTATATATACACACACTATCAGGTATATGAGTGTGTATATATACAGTAATAGCTCAGAGAGGAGCAGGGGAATGAAACTATATTGTAGTAGGTTGCTATATTTTACTGGAATTAAGTTAGCACTAACCTGAGTTACCACTATACACTGAAAACTACAAACATCACTGTGAGAAATTTAGAGAAGACCTAAATGAAAAAGGATTACCATGTTCATGATTAGAAAATATTATGTTAATATGACAGTTCTCCCCAGACTGATCTACACCTTAAACTTAATCCTATGAAAACTCTAGTAGGCTTTTTTTCATACAAATTGACTATCTAACCTAAAAATTTATATGGAAATGCAAAAGACTCAGAATAGCAAAACAATTTTGAATAAGAAATACAATTTGGTAATGTATATTGACTAATTCCAAACTAGCCATAAAGCTACAGTAATCAGAGACTGAAATGATATTGGAGCAAAAACAACTAATAGAACAACAGAAGAGAATATAGATTCCAGAACTCTCACCTTTATGGCCAACTGAGTTTTGAAAGAGGGCCAGATAATTCAATGGAAAAGCAAAGTCATTTCAACAAATGATGCTGAAACAATTAATGTTCTGGGGAGGGGGGAGGAGAATTGAACTTACACTGTTAGCTCATATCAGGCACAAAAACTACTCCAAAATAGACACAACTAAAACATAAGAGCTCAAACTATATAACTTCTAAAAGAAAACATAGACAAACTCTTTCTGATCTTGATTTAGGCAAAATGTATTGGATGTAACACGGAAGCCTGATCCATAGAAGATTATAATTGGAAGTTGAACTTCATAAAAATTTAAATTTTGCTCTCCAGAAGACAGTGTTAGGAAGTAAAAAGAGAACTAACTATAGACTGAAAGAAAAATTTGAAATCTATATCTGTTAAGGACTTGTATCCAGAATATATAATCACTCTTACAGCTCAATAATAACAATAAAAATATATAGCAATTCAATTAAAATAGGCAAATTGAACAACTTTCAATAAAAAAATACATGAATTGCTAATAAGCTCATGAAAAGATACTCGACATCTTTAGTAATTAGGAGATGTAAATTAAAATACACCTACTGTGATGACTGCAATAACAAAGACCAACAGTACCAGGTACCGGCATGAATGTGAAGAAACCAGAACCCTTCTCCATTGCTAGTGGCGAAGTAAATGGTACAGTCACTTTGGAAAACAGTTTGGTGGTTTCTTAAGATAAATATACACAATATTTGACCCAGCAATTCCATTCCCAAGTATCTTCCCAAAAGAAATGAAAACATATGTCCACCCAAAGTTGTGCCCACAAATAGTCATAGCAGAATTATTCATACTAGTGAAACACTGGGGAAAAAACAAATGTCTATCAACTGGTGAATGCATAAACAAAATGTACATTCATACAAGTGAATACTACTCAGCAATACAAAAGAATAACCATTGATAGATGCAACAATAGAATGAACCTCAAAAATATGGTAAGTAAAAAAAGCCATACACAAAGACTATATTTTGGATAATTCTAATTACATGAAAATTCGAGAAAAGGCAAAGGCAAAACCACAGAAACAGAAAAAAGATCAGTGGCTGCCTGAAACTAGGGGTGGGAGTCAAAATTAACTGCAAACAAGCCTGAGGAAATCTTTCGGGTGACAGAGCATCCTCAAATCGGTTTATGATGTTGGTTGCACAACTGAATAAATTTACTAGAAATCAGTGAACTGTATGCTTAAAATGAGTGGGTATTATGGCATTAAATTACACATCAATAAGGCTGTCTAAAAATAGATCTTTATCAAAGGAAATACAAATAGAAAATACAGAAAAACAAATTTTTCCACCCATAATCTTACCATCCATGTACTGTTGTTAGATTTTTAGGTTGTTTCTAGTCTTTCATCAGTAAATTATGCTAAAATAAACAACCTTATACATAAATTTTTGTTTGAGTGTCTAATTCATACCTCAGGATAATTTTCAAGATTAGGCTAAGTTGTTTAATCAAAGAATGTATCAATTTTCTATTGCTGCAAAACAAATTACCACAGACTTGGCAGCTTAAAACAACACTCATGTATGACCTCATGGTTTCTGTGGGTCAGGGGTCTGGATGGGGCTTGGCTGGGTTCTCTGTTCTGTGTCTCACAAGGCTGCACTCCAAGCATCAGTCAGGGCTACAATCTTGCCTGGCCACAGAGTCCTTTCCAAACTCACTGTGGCTGGCAGAACTCAGTTCCTTGTGGTTGTAGAACTGTCAGCTCCAAGAGGTCATTCGCTATTCTCTGTCATATGGCTGCCTTCAGGACAGAATAGTTTGCTTCTGCAAGGCCAACAGGAGAGCATCTGCTGCTACTTCAAGACCTCCACACCCTTTTTAAAGGGCTCTTTTGATTAGGTCAGACCCACTGAGAATAATCTCCCCTTTGGTTAACTCAAATCAACGGATTATGGGCCAGCATATGACCCCTTTCCATCCATTTCTACCATAAAGAATCCTCTACTTCCCATAGACTTAAAGGAGAATTATCAAGAAGAGACTATGTTCTCTGGGCCATGGTTGCACATATTCACCTCAAAATAAACCTCTTTAAATTAAAAAAGAAAAAAAAAGTCAACTAATTAGGTATCTTCCTTACATTTGCAAAATCTCTTCACCATTGCTATACATGGGAATCCAATCACAGGAGTGCTGTTTCACCATGTTCATAATCCTACCTTCACTCAGGGGGGGTGGACAAAATTGGGGACCATATTAGAAATGGTCCAGCACAAAGAATTTGCATATTTGTTAAGATTATTACTTAAATTGCCAAACTTTATGAAGGACATTTATATTCCCACCAGTAGAGTGCGAATTTCCCCAGCACTGGCTATTATCATGATGTTTAATCTTTGTCAGAGACAAGCAAATATCGTTGGCTTGGGTCCACTGGGTAGGGATCGTAGCAATGAGAGAACAAGTATTGAGTTCTTTGATTAATAGTATGATTATCATGGTCTTTGGAAAGTTTTATTTTCTTTTGCAAATTACCCATCTGTTTATTTGACTTTTTCTCTAGGGGAAAGTCTTTGTTACCAATTTTTTTCATAATCTCACTTTGAATATATTAAGAATATTAATTATTTATGGTTCATATAGCAAATATTTTCTCTTGATTTTTTAGAATTGGGCTACAGAGAGTTATGCTGTATAAAAATTTTTAAATTTCATAATCAGACCTATTAACTTTTATGAGTTTTGTTGATTTATTTAAAACTTTAACATGTTTTTCTGGGCTTTTTATTAATTTCAGAATATTATGGGGGTACAAATGTTTTGGTTACATGGATTGCTTTTGTACTGCTTGACTCAAAGTTGTAAGTGTGCCCATCACTCAGATAGTGGACATTGTACCTGTTAGGTCTGATTTCACCCATACCTCCCTTCCTCCTCCCACCTGAACAATTTCCCTTAAGTTTTACTTCCATCTGTGGACATGAGTGCCTATCAGTTAGTTCCAATTTAATAGGGAGTACATGTGGTGTTTTGTTTTTCTATTCTTCAGATATTTCACTTAAGAGAATGGTCTCTAATTCCATCCAGATTGTTGCAAAAGGTATTAATTCATTTTTATGGCTAAGTAGTACTCCATGATATACATAACCACATTTTATTAATCCATCATGATTGATGAGAACTTGGTTGATCCACATCTTTGCAATATGAACTGTGCTGCAATAAACATTCTAGTGCAGGTGTCTTTTTGATAAAATGACTTTTTTTTCTTTGGGTAAATACTTGGTAGTGGGATTGCTGGGTCACAATTTCTAGAAAGAGAAAAGTAAAGAAATCAAATGGGATTTCCAGTTTCCATCTCAGAAGACAGGAACTATAGAATAGGAAATCATGAACAAAGATGTTTCTAGCAACACAGTGCCCATCCGTCTTCTAATTGTTGTTTAAACCAATTCTCAACCTAAGATATCTAGACAGAGAAAGGACTATATCATTCCTTCAAATGGCTTGGTTATAGGCAACATACCACATTGTTTTGTTAATATTTCAGGACCTGGGGTGTCAGCTTCAATTGTATTTTTCATTTCTTGTCTTTAGGCTATCAAATTACAGTTCTGAGTATTTGAAAACAAGCAGGAATATGAAGCCAGCTTTTTCAAAAGCATTTAGTATTGCTCTTGAGTTTTATCCCCATTTCTAAGCATTATTTCCATATTATATCTAATATTTTCATTTTAATCTGGAACCTAAAACACATTGTATTAAAAAAAATACTTTGGAAAACCAGGAAAGTATGTCTTTCAGGCAAGATCACTTCTCCCTGCTGAATTAAAAAATAATGATGAAATATTTCATTGACAGAAGCAAAATCACCTTATGACTTATCTATTAAAAAGTTGGCTCCAATCTCTCCTACATATATAGATGAATAAATCATAATATAAGGATATAAGTAAGTTCCTTAAACCTTCCTTGAAGTATCAGGCATTAAATGTTCTCATCTATAAAATGAGAAAGTGAAAACTAGCTAATCTGTAAGATCATACTCAATCTAACACTGACGCGACTTGATGTTTGACTCGAGGCTTTCTGCTTACATTCTTTCTTTGTTCCTTTCAAACTCCTTGTCCAAAAGTCTTGCCTGCAAGTTTCTTCCTCTTTTAATTCTTGTCAAACTCTCCATTATCATTTCCACGTTAAATATCCAAAACCAAACTCACTATCCCTCTCAAACTTCTTGGTTTACATATTTCTTGGATTTGTACCCTGGTCCTTCTCAGTATGCTGGCAGGAAATAAGGAATCATCTTTCATCATCTTTCTCTCACCCCATATCTAATCAGTATATAAGGACAGAATATTTGTCCACTGAACTCTCTCTCCTTATCCTTCTTGCAATTCCTCCCAACACATGAGTTCAGATTTCCAGGGTGTCTCTCCGAGACTCAGTGTTGAAAATTCTTTTATCTGCTTTGTCTTTCCAGATACGATGACTCCAAAGCACTGTAGCCAGGTTGACAGTCCTATGGTTCCCTGTTTTCGGTCGAATTAAGAACAAACTATGCAGCCTGGCAATGAAGTTCGTGTACAATATGCCCTAGCCTGGCTTTTCAAACTCTCTCGTTTTCCTTCTGCTTATGTCCAGTGTCTTAGCCACCCAGGATCCTTGCTATTTCCTGAACACACCCTATATTTTGTCATTTCCTTGCCTTTTAGGTTTTATTTTGAATTCTTATTTTCAGTGTTTAAAGTTTCTAAGTTTCTATAAATTTTGGGATATCAACTGCAGATAAAACAAGAAAAAATAACATGTAATAATTTTAAATCTTTATCCTACTTCAAAAACCCTCTGTATTTCTTTTTTCTGGAGCCCATACAATATATTCCATGTTAATGAAATACAGCAGAACTTTAAAAAATCAGTAAAGTCTCTCTGGAGAACACAATGAGGATTGAGTGTATTAGTGCTGCACTGAATCTGAGCACCTGCAGCCCAACCTCCCCCTGGGAGGGTCAGGGAAGCCAGCCAGCTGACCTCAGGTCACGCAGCTATCAGGAACAAATCTTGGACGAAAGATTTGAATGGTTTTCTGTGGCTCAGGAAACTACCAAAATGTGCCTTTCAATAGAACTTGCTCAATCATTCACTCAACAAGCAGGTGTCTAGTGTTTGCAGTCTGCGGTGTGTTGGGTCCTGGAATTCAAAAATTAACGATGGCCCTGCCATCTAGGGACACAGTCTGGGAGGAGGAAATACGGGTGGACAACTAAGTGCAATAAAAGGTGATAGGTACACTACTTTTTCTATTAATTTCCTTTTAAAAATAGACATTTTAAATAATTATTGTAAAACTTTATTGTTGAGTATGTTATATGTGTATATATGTGTGTGTATATATATATCTTATATATACATCTTATATATACACACACTATCAGGTATATGAGTGTGTATATATGACAGTAATAGCTCAGAGAGGAGCAGGGGAATGAAACTATATTGTAGTAAGGTTGCTATATTTTACTGGAATTAAGTTAGCACTAACCTGAGTTAGCACTATACACTGAAAACTACAAACATCACTGTGAGAAATTTAGAGAAGACCTAAATGAAAAAGGATGTACCATGTTCATGGATTAGAAAATATTATTGTTAATATGACAGTTCTCCCCAGACTGATCTACACCTTAAACTTAATTCCTATGAAAACTCTAGTCTTCTCCAGAGAGACTTTACTGATTTTTAAAGTTCTGCTGTATTTCATTAACATGGAATATATGTATGGGCTCCAGAAAAAAGAAATACAGAGGGTTTTTGAAGTAGGATAAAGATTTAAAATTATTACATGTTATTTTTTGTTTTTATCTGCAGTTGATATCCACAAATTTATAGAAACTTAGAAACTTTAAACACTGAAATAAGAATTCAAAATAAAACCTAAAAGGCAAGGAATGACAAAATATAGGGTGTGTTCGGAAATAGCAAGGATCCTGGGTGGCTAAGACACTGGACATAAGCAGAAGGAAAACGAGAGAGTTTGAAAAGCCAGGCTGGGCATATTGTACACGAACTTCATTGCCAGGCTGCATAGTTTGTTCTTAATTCGACCGAAAACAGGAACCATAGGACTGTCAACCTGGCTACAGTGCTTGGAGTCATCGTATCTGGAAAGACAAAGCAGATAAAAGAATTTTCAACACTGAGTCTCGAGAGACACCCTGGAAATCTGAACTCAGTGTGTGGGAGAATTGCGGGAAGAAGATAAATT